TCAACACAAAATTGATCTTGAATCTGATCTCACTTCTGTGAGATCTTATTGTGCATTGGATGGAGGTAGAGAGATTAGAACCATCACTTTTGACATTTATTATTAGTAGAAGGTGCAAGAAAAGCTTTTTATAAAGTTTGGTATTCTGGCCTTATCCATAAGCTTCCTCTTTACAGTGTATCAGGTAACATCTTTAAGATTATTGAATCCTTCCTTTCCAATCATAGTATAAAAGTTGTCCTTGATAGACAGCACTCTTCTTCATATCCTGTAACTTCAGGGGTTCCTTAAAGTTCTATTCTTGGCCCTGTACTTTTTTTAATTAACATTAACAATCATCCAGATATTCATACATCTAAGGTGGCATTGTTTGCTAATGATACTACAATTTTATCTTTTTTTGATAAGAAGCCAACACTTTTTGATTGCTTGGAGGGGACATTTGGGCTTAAAAAAGATCTCAATTCTGTTACAGCATGGGGCTCACAGTGGCTGGTGAACTTTAATTCAGATAAAACCTAATTTTTATCAGCCAATTGTTATCACAATAATTTAGATCTTGTTATATTTATGAACGGTAATGTATTAGAGTCATCTAACCTTCATCTTCTAAGATTAGCCCTAACTTCCAATCTTTTTTGGAAACCATATATCAAATCCATCGCAAAATTAGCATCTGCTAAGGTTGGATCTCTTTATAACGCTCAACACTTTTTTATTTCAGATTCTATTCTTTATCTCTATAAATCTCATATCGATCCTTGTATGGAATACTGTTGCCATTTCTGGAGCAGATCTTATAATGATACCTTTTTCTTTTAGACAAGGTGCAAAAACGCATTGTAAACATAGTTGGACATGCTCATGCAGTCAACCTTTAACCATTATCGCATTGTTGTAATGTTGCTTCTCTTTCTTTTTTTTACAAATACTATAATGGGCATTTTTCTAAAGACCTAGCGTCTCTTGCACCTTCTACTAATATTCATTCTTGTGTTACTCGTCATTCAATCAAGTCTCATCCTTTTTCTGTGACTGTTCCAAAGTGCTCAAAAAAGTCTTATTCATCTACTTTTTTCCTCGAACATCAGTTCTTTGGAACTCGTTTCCTTTTTTTCTGATTCATTTGCAATATTTTAAATTTGTCTGTCAATCATTACCTTGCTCTATAAACTTTATCTTTTCTCTTCCAGTAACTTCCAACTCTAATAGTGGTTGCTTGCAGCCTTGTTGGGAGTGATTCAGAATAAATAAATAAAGATGCTGAATATGCAATCAATTGTATATATTGTTTGGTCAGTAGTAAATGATAATTCAAAAATTTGTAATGCAGTAAATAACTTTTTGAAAAATAAATAACAAGTTTTGCTTAGAACAAAATTTACCAGCCATAGCAAGCCTCCAAAAAAAAGATGAATTAATAACATTTTGAGGAAGATCAATAATAATAAGCCCAACAGAAGTCCAGTAGAACCTTGTAGTACCTGGAAAAGTAAGTGGAAATGAAGAATAGTGTTAAATGCTACTATAAAAATTCTAGCAAATATGACAGCAAACACTTAATCCTATTACCCTACAGATATAAGATTGGAGAGGATAAAAAACTTTTTTTTAAGTTTATTTATAGTTTGCATAAAAATGCAAACATTTTATTCAATAAAATAGCAATACCATACAACATTAATGGCATAACGTTAATTTTATAATTCATAATGTGGTTGAAGCAATGAACACAGTTAAATCCCAGTAACTAAAACTTTTAAGGGACCAACGAAAGCAGTTTAACGAAACAACGAAACAAATGTTCAACTTAGGCAATATAAAACAATTGTAACTGCTTTCAGGGGACCTTAGAAAAAAGTTCAAGATAAAAAAAAGTTTTATGCATCTTTGTACTTAATTAAATATTTTTCTATTTTATACAGCTATGATGAAAAAAATAAAAATCAATATACCAACTGGATTAACTTCAAGTAAACTATATGTAGGAAAACATATATAATATAATATAATATATATATATATATATATATATAAATTGCACAAAAATCTTATTACGCATATACAATTAAAAGATATAAGAAAATTATACACCTAAATATATATAAAAAAGTATTAATAACAATAATAATAATAATTAAAATTTAACTGTTGCATAATTTTAAACCGAGGTATGAAATACTAAAAACTTATCAGCCATAAATGCTATTTTCTATGTGTCAGTAATTCAAAATGCCGAACAAAAAAACCGCACAAAAATGTGCCAAAAGTAAACAAAGTTGATATGTTATTTCGGAAGGACTACAAACCTCAATTAAAAGATATAAAAAATCTTTATAAACATCTATTGATTTCAAGGGCTTGCAATTAGGTTAATTTAATAAAATGAGGGAATGAGCACATCCACAGATAAAAAGTAACAAAACCAACAATTTAATGTCTCGGTTATAGCAGTTTAAGTTATTTTCGGCAATTAAAACATAAAATAATCAAAATAGATGTAAAAACTGTAATACTTTACAAAAATAAAGAATAAACGCAAAAATATATATAAAAAAAAAAGGAAATTGAACTTAAAATGCGAAATAGTTACCATTAATAATATACTTAAATATTTTATGACAACTTCATTTAGTTTATAGAATGATATTTAGCTTTGATTTAAGCTTATTTCATTACTAAAAGTTTATGTATGCACGCATCATTTGAATACACATACATTTGTATGTATGTATATATATATATATATATATATATATATATATATATATATATATATATATATATATATATATATGTATATATATATATATATATATATATATATATATATATATATATATATATATATATATATATATATATATATATATATATATATATATATCTATATATGTGTGTGTGTGTGTGTGCGTGCGTGTGAAAAAAAAATTCTGATTCATTTGTTTTGTGTCATAATTTCAATACTTGCAAAATATGAAATACTAGTAAGACTTAATAATTGTTATATTTAATTGCCAAGTAGCAACAATTAGATTTTTAGAACCTTGCCTATTTCACTGGACTATTTCTCTCAAATTATTGGACTTCTTTTCACTGTTTTAACTGTTTTCCAAACAGTTTCGGTGCGTACAGGTTTTACTATCTATGTTAAAAGAGTTAAGACCGTAATAACAAACAATAATAACAATATATATATATTCTGAAATAATAGTTTACATTTCATGGTAGTTTACTAATAGTACAAGTACTAATCAAAGGTAAACACCAATTAAATAATAATAGCAATGATATAATAATAATAATAATAACTAGCTGGGGTGACCCGTAAAATACGGGTCTTTACCGAACCGACCATTTTTATACTTATCTATAGCTATCCGGACGTAAACTAAGGGTCTTAGTAAATCTATTCCACACCAACCTTTTCTATACTTATTCCTTACCTCAATATTTTTTTAAAACCGTTTAAAAATGTACATATAAAAAACTATACTTACTTTTTGATATGACAAAAACATTTCTGTTAAAATATTCTTTTAAAAACTTCAAACGATTTTAATATTATGCCGATTATAAAAATTTTAATAAGAAAAAACGTAAAAAAGACTACGAACTTAGAAAAATGCTAAAACATTCAACACGTGACGCCGTTAAAGTACGCCTTAGTTAACGTTCATAACATATACACATCTAATTAGATTTTATTTAAATTCAGTTGTTGCAAACTTGGTTTTGAATTTTTAATTACACTTCTTACGCGTCATAAATAATCTTAAATTCTAAATAGAAAATACGTTTATGGGCTAATTGGTACACGCGCAACACTTAGACAGATATAGTCATCTCACCCCGGGAGTTCATACTCCAGTGACCTTTTTTTTTCATCCCAACTTACAACAAAAGTAATTAAAAATAAATGTTATTATTGAAACAGTTTTAAACATTTCTTCCTATTTATCTTTGAACTTAACTTTATTCACTGCAAACATACTTTTGGTGTTAGTAAGCGTTATTTTACGTTTAGTATTTGTAGGAATTATTTGCACGCACGTATTTTAAACAATTATTTTTACTGTTTCATCTAAAAATCTTATTTAATTTAGTTTAATAATTTCTTAAATATAATATATATAATATAATTTAAAATATTTTATTAACCCGATTTAAATAAGTATCAAAACTCTTTCCTTTAATTTAAAAAGAATTTAAAAATAACGTAGGCTATAACGATATTTTACCCTTTCATCAACATTTATTTAAAAAGTAAATTTGGATATAGAAAAACGGGTTAAAGACGTATTATTTTAAATAAGTTAGCTTTGTCTATTTAATGCTTTTCGTAAAAGCGTTTCTTTAAAGACTCTTAACAAATCATTCAAGCTGTTTTTACTGCCTAAGTTATTAAACCTGTTGTGTGTGCCAAAAATCGATACTTAATGCAAATGGAAACTTCGAGTGCTAATGGTGATTAAAGCATAAATGGTTCCTATTCATATATAATAAAAGGAAATATGAAAGACAAAGCAAAAATGATTTTTATATTCATTTAAAACAATAAATCCCAAAATAAAAAAATATAGATATTTACTTAAAAACATATTTTTCTTGATATAAAATAAAAATATAACCTTTAGTACAAATTACAAAAAAAAAAATTTATTCAACAGAGCTACTTATAATACAATTTAAATTGAATCATTGTTTCATAAATATTAAGCTTTAGGTAAGCCATAATCAAGTCAGCTATAAGAAACGGAACTAAAAATGGAACAAAGTTATTTAAACGAATAATCATTCACATTAATTACAAATTAACATGTCATGCAATCAATACTTTTGAAAACTCAAATATGCGAATAAGAAACTTACTTTTTTATTTTTACATAACCCTGACAGACCAACATGAATGTGAGCTAAATATATTTGCATAAAACATCACAACAATTAATTAAATAGCAGAACCACCTTCAAAGGACAAAAAAATTAGTTTTTTAAGGAAAATTAGAGTTATTGGGAGGGGAGGTATTAATAAATAAAAAAGCTCAACTTGAATTTCAAAATTAGTTCATAGTTTTGTTGAGAGTTATTGAGTTATTCTGAGTTTATTATACATATTTTAAACTACTAACACCACACACTTATATTCTTAGTTCTGGAAGGTGCTACATAGAATTTGATTGTGTGAAAACCAAATCCCTTTGAGATTAACATTAACTTTATCAAATGTATGACCGTGACTTTTATTTCTAGTTAATGAGCATTGTTGATAAAGGTGTCTTTATTTAAATGATTTACTTTGATAACATTTAACATTCATGGGAAAAATTAAAAAACAACACAAAAATAAATTTACAAAAATATATTACAAAAAAAAAATGAAGTGGCTCAAAAGTTGTCAATTTCTTTACATTTTAAAATGTAAAAAAATTATTGACAACTTTTAAGCCACGTTGTCTTCTCCTCCCAGCATCCGCTATATTCCCCGTGTTGTATGGTGTGCCATCCCTCCATCTAAAGGAGGGATGGTCGTCCCCATACAAACACCAGCGATGGAAGGCCCTCATAGATAGAGGGCCTGGATGCTGGGAGCGATACTTTCGGAAATCTTCCCATGACTTCGAGCCTGAAAAAAAAATTATATATAAATACAACTATCTACCTAGGTAATACTTACAAAAAATCTACTGTAAAAAAACAATAAAAGCAAATAATGTAATAAATTAAGTACAAGTGAGCACAACAACTTATTTATTTTACTCACTAATACTTGACTTATTACATTAACTAATTAAACTGGAAAGCACATTTGTAGCTATATTAAAAAACAAAAGGTACAATGAAAGCAATCAATCAATGTAATAAGTCAAGTAAAGGTGAATATAACAACTTACTTGTAACAGAAGAAGCAGCAGCTAGAGATAAATAAAAGAAAGTTAAAAAAACAATAAAACCAATTAATCCATAAATTAAGTCAAGTATAAGTGAATAGAACAACTTACTTGTAACAGAAGAAGCAGCAGCTAGAGATAAATAAAAGAAAGTTAAAAATGCAATAAAACCAATTAATCCATAAATTAAGTCAAGTATAAGTGAATAGAACAACTTACTTGTAACAGAAGAAGCAGCAGCTAGAGATAAATAAAAGAAAGTTAAAAATGCAATAAAACCAATTAATCCATAAATTAAGTCAAATATAAGTGAATAGAACAACTTACTTGTAACAGAAGAAGCAGCAGCTGAGATAAATAAAAGAAAATTAAAAATGCAATAAAAACAATCAATCAATGTAATAAGCTGCATTAGGATCATAATTATACAGCTGACAATATTTGGGCAGACAACCTTCTGCAGGCCTTAAATTTCCAACACGATGCAAAATTTGCCCACAGACCCTAAAACAGAAAGGGCCATTATTTGAGGGAGGAGCTATTTCGGCAGTGAAGGAAGCAAAAGATAAAGAGGAATTATAACTCCTTATGTGTTTAAAAAAATTTTGATTTACAGCATGATCAACATGGTTTCCTGTCATTAAACCAGTCAACAATGGCGGATAAAGAGAAAGAGGAGCTAATACAACTTTTCTTGAATGGCAGCACAAAAAATGAGTTTCATTTAAAAACTTCTTTGCACTGCAATACTGACAATTATGGTTTAATTCTCCGAGGTAGTTACTCTCTATAGCAATATTATTTCTTGCTATGCGATGCATATTATACCTATTAAGTTCTCACCTAGCCTGATTTCTTTCATTTTGATTACAATTTATTTCAGCTCGCCGGGGCTCATCTCTTTCAATTCGACGACGATCTATCTCAGCTCGCCGGGGCTCATCTCTTTCAATTCGACGACAATTTATCTCAGCTCGCCGGGGCTCATCTCTTTCAATTCGACGACGATTTATCTCAGCTCGCCGGGGCTCATCTCTTTTAATTCGACGACAATTTATCTCAGCTCGCCTGGGCTCATCTCTTTCAATTCGACGACGATTTATCTCAGCTCGCCTGGGCTCATCTCTTTCATTTCGACGGCGGTTTATCTCAGCTCGCCAAGCCTCCCTTCTTTCATTTTGACGAAGTCTAATAATTTCATTTCTTAAATTATTAGACATAATTAGGCATCAAAGGAGTGTGTAAAAATGATGCCTAATATAATAAAAGTTGAAGTTTCTTTTTTAAACTTATCTAAAATAAAGTGTAAGCAAATAATACAGAGCATAATACTATAATCTATTATATTCTACCATATATAGCATTGTGTTAAGATAACATAGTTTTATTAAAAACTTAAACTAAAGTTATAAATTAATGTAATATTTTCAACTAAGTATTGTTTATATATTTATGGTAGTTGTTATCAATTATTGACAAAATATTATAAGTATTTAATCAAAAAAAAAACAAAAAACAAATGTAATTTAAAAAACAAATTTTTTACATATAAGAACTCATAAATAAAGCAAATTAAAAAAATTTAAGGCCTGTCAACTCAGCAGGTACTGCTAGCATGGAAGGATAAAATGTAATCATCCATCAACAAAACCCTTTCATTACTTTGAAAGGCATTTAACGCAAGATTTGCAATAAATAAATACAAAACTACTAAAAGAACCTCTATAAACAATCATATATTTGCTTCAAGTGAAGAAACTTGGAAATATTGAAACTTCTTTTACTATTTTAATTTTTTTTTAGATATTTAATATTCTAAAGAAAAAGGGACAATAATTTAAGGCAAAAAAATTAAAATGTCTATACATATAATATATGTATAGACATTTTAATTCTATATATTTTATTGTGTGTGTGTGTCTATATATATACATATACATATATATATATATATATATATATATATATATATATATATATATATATATATATATATATATATATATATATATATATATTGATGTACATACAAAACATTAAAATAATAATATAAAGAAAACATTCTCTATACAAAAAATCCTAAAAATTTAACAAAAGTTATTATAACTTATGCTTCAACACGCTGTATACTTACTTTTATATATATAAAAAAAATTTGAGTTAAACATATTTAATGAAGAAAATCGAAACTCTTAAAAATTTTAATGAGGAGGAGCTGTTAGTAAAGCCTGCTTTTTAACAAAATTTATTTATTGTCAAAAGCATACATTGTTAAGAACAGTGGATAACAACATTAAAACACATTTTTTCAGCAATATTTTTTCAACACATTTTAGAAATACACTAATTACAAACAGAATTAATTTATGTGTTTTATTATGACAATACACCACTCTCCTGGCGAGGACAATATTTTTGCTCTCAACAAAGCCAGGTGACATTATAGCAAAGTACACCACTTGGCTAGCAAGGTCAACAATTTTGCTGTAAACTAAGCCCAGTCACAACAATTTGAAACCATGCAAACAACATAATTATCACTTACAAACTATAAACATATTACATATAACACACCACAAACATTGAAACATTTCATATATTTACACACTTACAAAATATAAACCCATATAACCTTAACACATATACACAATAAAACACAATATAAATAACACACATATATAGATAAATATATAAATTAAGAAAAATATATAAATTTGAAACTTTACAAATACAACCTTATTTTTGTTTTTTGAAATACCTCGTAATAAATGTTTAACAACTTTCAAAAACAAACTATCAAACAATCTGGTTTTTTATACGGATTTTTATAACTTCTTTTAAATAAGGTATTAAACGATCTTGTTCTATAACATGTAACATTGAGTTGACCGTGTGAGATGCAAGTGTTTTAAACACTAACTTTATCAAGAGTTTGACCTCTTGACCTTTGTAATGAGCAACGTCTTCTTGAGTCGTCTTTTAATTTAAAAATTACAGATTAATTTTATAAATTAATAAATTTAAATACAATTGACAAAAGACTAAAATGCATGATTTAAATAAATCACCTGACTTTAAAAGTTACTTTACTAATTCAATAATAACATAATGTTCATCCTTTACTACAGAAGTTATCAAATAAAAATTGTTGATCTTATCACTAATTAAGCTGATGAAACAAAGTTTTTGATCTCATTACTGATTAAGCAGATACTGACAGATTATTAAGGTTTGAAAGAGCCTCATTAGGCGAGTTCAGAAGTAAAGCAATTTATAATAAAACTCAAAGGCCAAGTATGGTAAAAAAGTCCGTGTAAAGGTGCACGAATGGTGAGCAGCAGCAGCGGCAGCGTTATGTTAAGTATTAATTATAAGCGATGATAATAGCAATAATAATAATAATAGCAATAATAATAATAGTAATAATAATAGCAATAATAGCAATAATAATAATAATAACAATAATAATAATAATAATAATAACAATAATAATAATGTAAATTAAACGAAGACGATTATAATAATACCAATAATACTATTAAATATAATAATGACAATAACAATGATTATATCAGTAATTATAATAACAAAAGCAATAATAGTAATAATAATAATAGTAATGAAGTTAACAACAATAGTAACAACAATAATAATATTAACAAATATCACATTCATATATTAAACAATTCCAATAAGTAACAATGAAGGTAATAAAAATGCAAATAAAATGTAAGTAATATTAACATCACATATAATAATAATACTAATAACAATAGTAATAATAATCTATTATAAGCCTAAGATTTTAATTTGCGTATTTTTCTATCAAAAAGTCAAAAAGACGGGTTTTAAATTGTGAAAAAGTGTTGAGGGATTGAAAATGAAAAGGTAAATTATTCCATGATTTTACGCATTGGTTTAGAATAGAATAGAATAGAAAAGGTGCTGTACACACTTGAGGTGTGTAGAGTCTTAATTACGTAGAATTAAGACTATGACAGCCGATTACAAAAATTAGTGTTCAGAAACCGAAATAATTATCGATACTGTTTTTAAAAATGTTCAAATTATCTTTATCTAATATCCATTGTGGAAGAGAATTCCAATCATTTATAACTCTGTTTGTAAAGAAATGGTGACGAATTCTTGATTTTGTAAATTGTCTGCGTATTCTACAATTGTTACTTCTACTAGATCGCTCCAGCTCAAAATTTAAAGGAGGATGGTAAAAATTAACAATATCTTTTCCTTTTGAGATCTTATACATTTGAATCAGATCACCTCTTCTTCTTCTATCAAACAAAGTTGGCAATTCAAGTATCTTTAATCTTTCTTCATACGACTTCCCCCTTAAAGATTCAATTCTCGTAGCCCTGTGTTGCACGATTTCAAGATTGTCAATGTCCTTTTTCCAAAATGGACTCCAAACTGTTGCTCCATATTCCAAATGGGGACGTACTAACGATTTGTATAGTAACTTTAATGAAAGTTCATCCAAATACTCAAAAGAGTTTTTGATCATGCCTAATTTTCTGTTTGCTTTACCTATAGCTGAATTAATATGATATTTCCACTCTAGATTATTTGAAATGAAAATCCCAAGATCATTTTCTATCATTGTTTCTGTTAAAACAGAGTTGTTCAATTTATATTCATATCTTGGATTCTTTTTGCCAATATACATGACTTTACATTTTGATTCATTAAATGTAATTAACCAATCTTCAGACCATTTAACTAACCTGTTAATATCCTCTTGTAATATTTTATTATCATCATAACAATGATTGATTGAAATAACTTTGGTATCGTCTGCATATAATTTAGTGTCTTTAATAATCCCTCTACATAAGTCATTAATGAAGATTACAAACAAAAGAGGTCCGAGTACTGAACCTTGTGGTACTCCACTAGTAACCATCTTCCAACTTGAAATATATTCCCCTATTACAACTCTCTGTGTTCGGCCTGACAAAAATGATTTACACCAATTTAACAAAGATGATACAAATCCTAGTCTGAATAATTTTTTCAGTAATTTCGTGTGAGAGACTGAATCAAATGCTTTTTTAAAATCCAAAAATAAAACATCAACAGAAATATCCTCTTCATACGCTTGCGTGATTAAATCTAATGTTTCTAACAGGTTTGTTATACAACTTTTGTTATTAACAAAACCATGTTGCTCTTTAGAAATTAAATTGTTTTCAATGAGGAACACCATCATATGATCTTTAATAATTCTCTCCATAACTTTACCAACAATTGATGTTAATGAAACCGGTCTATAATTTGTTGGATCTAGTTTATTTCCTTTTTTAAATAACGGAACAACGTTTGCACATGACCATAACTTTGGAATAGATCCTGTAATAAACGATTTAACAAATATTATTGCTAAAGAACTTGACAAAGATTCTGAACATTCCTTTAAAACTTTTGGGTGAACATTATCTGGACCTACTGATTTGTACATGTTTAAATTACTCAAATGTTTCCGAATAAGAGAAATACTAAAATCTGGATCAGAACATTTTGTTAAAAGATTGTCATCTAAAACTTCTTCTGGTGAGTCATCTTGTATAAACACAGAAGCAAAGAATTCATTAAGAGTGTTTACTATCTCTTGATTATCAGTAGTTATAATACCATTATGTAGCTTTATGGCTTTGATCGAGTCTTTAAATCTTGTTTTGTTGTTTATATAAGCATAGACACTTTTAGGATTGCTTTTTGAATTAAGTGCCAAGTTTTTTTCAAAATTGCGAATACTTTTCTTGACAAGTTTTTTTATATCTTTATTTAATTTTTTATACTTATTGACTTCTAAAAGACTTTTAAAACCTGAATTTCTGTTTCTAAACCAACATTTTTTCTTTTCTTTACACATGCTTTTAAGTTCAGTTGTCATCCATAGTGAGTTATTTTTTAGTTGAAAAGAGTTTTTATCTAAATTTAGCGTTGGGATATATTTTTCACATCCTATTTTATATTTTCTTAGCCATTTTTCGTAACATTCATTAACACTTAGTCCTTCAAATTCATTTATCCAGTTTATGTTATTAAAATAC